CTTTTTTCTTTTTGCTTATGTGGTGCTGAGGAATCGAACCCAGGGCCTCAGGCATGCAAGGCAAGTACTCTACCACTGAGCCACCTTCCCAGCCCAGCAGTCAACATTTCTTTACCAACTGCTCAGTCTCTAGCACAGTGCTAGACTCCAAGGAGGAAAGAGAGGGAGAAGTTCTGGTCTATGGTTTCAGAAGGCCGTTCTGACCAAGAACAGTGTCTACAGAGAAGTTCTTGCCCAGAATCCCCTACAGCAGGGCAGCCAGTGGGGTTCCCTAAGCTCCCAGGAAAAAAGGATGGAAGGCTCTGAAGCCTACAGGGCCAGAAAGAGAGAACAAGTGCCCTCTATCGCCTCAAGAAATGGTGCTGACAAGTTAAGAACTAACATGTATTGAGTCCTTACCCTTGGTCCTTTATCTTTGAACCTTACCACCTATCCAACATGCTATGTTCATCCTCATTTTAGAATAAAGCAGTGTGAGGCCTAGAAAGGTTAAGTCACTGGCTCAAGGTCACAAAGCTATTAAGCAATGATCACATCTGTGCACCTAATTATGGCTTCAAATCGCTTCAATAGTTGGGCTCATCTGCATTTCCATGCCAGGCAGGGCACAGATTCTGAGACTGCAGCGGACCTATAATACATTGAGAGAAACAGGATTTCAGGAACGTGGCAAGCAGGAGCAGGACAATGGAGCTACCATCTCTCAGGAGACACCAGAGTGTCTCCCAGGGCCCAGTCTCTCCATTCAGACACCCAGGTGAATGTGAGAGGATGAGTCAGGATTGAGCCCGGAAGTGCTACAGGATGTGGAGTGGGTAGGAGGCTTTCCAGGGGGAAGGTAGCTCAGGTGGGGAAGGGAGGATGGGACTTGTGTTAGATGACTTACTCATGTAGGAAGCCCACCTCCCAGCCTCAGTCAGAAAGTCTGGGAAGTAGAAGGAAATAGTACTGATGACTCATTAGTAACCTTAGAAAGTAGAAGTACTGGGCAGGCAGGAGCAGTGGAAATGGGAGGCCTTGATCAAGGCCCAGTTCCCCCCACTGAACTGTGTTTCCTGAAGAAGCCAGGTCTCCCCACAAACCTTGCCCTCATTCAGCCCTAGCCCTAGCCCATTTAGCACAGGTGTCTCCTGACTTCATAGGCCATCACCTGTAAAGGAGGATGGCACCCTCCCCTACACACACACACACACACACACACACACACACACACACTAGAAGTGTCTAAGGAAGATCCAGAGGCATGTGGTATCTTACAAGATCAATGACAGCAGGGCTGTGTTGTTTGGTTTGTTTTGTCAGTTGTGGGGCTTGAACTCAGGGTCTAGGCGCTGTCCCTGAGCTCTTTTTGCTCAAGGCTAACATTCTACCACTTTGAGCCACAGCTCCACTTCTGGTTTTCTGGTGGTTAATTGGAGATAAAGAGTCTCCTGGGTTTTCCTGCCCAGGCTGGCTTCAAACCATGATCCTCAGACCTGAGTAGCTAGAATTACTGGCGTGAGCCACCAGTGCCCAGTGAGCCACCAGCACCCATCCTGACTGTGTTTTAAAGATCCATGCTGTCTCTGGAGAGTGTCAGTCAGTCTGGAAGTCCCAAGGACAGGCCACTCCCAGAGGTCATCAGGAGAAAACCTCGCCACAGCAGCTTCCCCTCAAGCTGTCTAGGCAGGAGGTCAGTGGAAGGACAAGACCTAAAAAGGGGTTGTTCAGTCCTAGGCATCAACTACTGCCCACCTCCAGGACAGCCTTGGTGACTTGGGCTTTGCTAGCAGTTCTGCCATGGCTTCAGGAAGAATCAGGCTCAGCCACCACAGAGACCTTGAGTGTGTCCCTCCCCTCCCCCCCCCCCACTGACATAACTGTGGTTCAACTGGTAGAGCAGTGACTGGGCGCTTGGCCTGGCCCTGGTGAGAGATGTGACTCCTCGTGCCTCTAAGCTGAGCTGGGGATGGCGATGTCCTTTCTTTTTAGATTACCGAGTATATGCTGCAGGCGGGATGGGCCTGGACCTCCGTCCACACAACCACCTCCAGCACTATGACATGCTCAAGGACATGTGGGTGTCACTAGCACCCATGCCCACCCCAAGATATGCCGCCACCTCCTTCCTCCGAGGCTCCAAGATCTATGTGCTAGGTAAGGACGGGTTATCTGTTGTACTCGCAACCCCCTGCCCCAGTCCTGGGGCTTGAACTCAGGGGTTGGGCACTGCCCCTGAGCTTCGTTTGCTCAAGGCTAGCACTGTACCACTTGAGCCACAGTGCCAACTTCCAGCTTTTCCTGTTTATGTGGTATTCAGACATTGAACCCAGGGCTTTTGTGCATGCTAAGCCAGCAGTCTATCACTAAGCCACATTCCCAGCCCTTTGTTGTACGTTTGTCCCTTTGGTCAGTTCCCTTAGAAGAAATACCTGTGGCTGGGCATCTCCTTGCCACTAGGGGAGAATCACGCTGCCACACCCCTTAGGGAGCTTCCTGTGTGACTGGGACAGGCAGAAAGGGAAAGCCAGCCCCATCCTCAGAGACAACTCTTCTGCCCACCCTGCCCTCCACCCTGGCTTCCAGGGGGACGGCAGTCCAAGTATGCGGTCAATGCCTTTGAGGTCTTTGACATCGAGACTCGCTCGTGGACCAAGTTCCCCAACATTCCCTGCAAGCGGGCCTTCTCCAGCTTCGTGACCCTGGACAACCACTTGTACAGCCTGGGAGGCCTGCGGCAGGGTCGGCTGTATCGGCAACCCAAGTTCCTTCGGACGATGGATGTGTTTGACATGGAGCAGGGTAAGCGGGGGACCAACCCTTGCCCTGATCCCCTGTGAAAACTGTCTGCTTGTCTTCCTTCTGGCTGATTCCCAAATCTCCTGCCCTGTCCATCATCCCAGGGCCACTGGGTGCAGTGGGTGCAGCAGGGTGCAGTCCCAGGTCTGAGCTCTCCGCTGCACTCATGGATACTTTGGAGATGCAATTCCTTCATCTCTCCAGGGTTCCCTTTGGCCTGGTTGGTTGTTTTCAGCAAAGGCTTTTCTACCTATTGTTTCTTTCCTTACTGATGTCTGTTCAGGACCAGGTCAGGGAGAGATTCTGCTTTTACTGATGGGGAAATAGAAGGAACCCCTGACTCTCACCCTCATGGCTCCCCCTCAGTCTTTCCCTCCAGTTTAGAGAGGGAGAATCAAAGGACAGCAGGAATCTCTGACAGGGTTGTCTTCCACTGTAACAAGTGGGGATGGCAGGGGGCCATCCCAAGCTGCAGGGGGCGCTCTGGGTTCCCTGAGCACAGGGGTGAACACAAGGGGCCGCTGCCCAGGGTGAAATCCATTTGGGACTCCTTTGTATTTGGTAGTAATGACCAGCACCTGTTTTTTTTTGTTTTTTTTTTTAATTTTCTCTCCATTCTGCCATTACCCATGGCTTGTAGGGGGATGGCTGAAGATGGAGCGCTCCTTCTTCCTCAAGAAGAGACGGGCAGACTTTGTGGCTGGCTCTCTGAGTGGTCGGATCGTAGTGGCAGGGGGACTTGGTAAGGACGGGGCGTCCAGGCGGGAATGGGTAGTGGACATGGTGCGAGGTGGACTCTTGGCACTCTGCATGAGCAGCAAATAGAACTGACTCCGTGTACACTCATATTTCAAGACACTCCCTTCCTCCCAGCCGGAACTTTACCTATCTGCCTATAGCCCCAGATGTGTTCCTTCTATCCTCTTGCTGCAGAGAAACTGAGGCCCACAGAAGATAAGGGACGTGCTGATAACTGGGAATGATTGGAGGCAAAGTGCAGAGGGGTTCAGCTCTCGACCTTCTCTGTGCCGTCTTTTCCTGTTTGAGGCCAGGAAAGCATCTGATCAAATAAAGCCTAAATGAACCCTGGATTTGATGCACCAGCCTCCCACAGACCACTAGTATTGTGGAGGGAAAAAAAAACTTATGTCAAGCCAGGTGCTAGTGGCTCACATACCTATAATCTTAACAACCCAAGAGGCTGAGATCTGAGGATTAAGGGTCAAAGCTGCCCGAGCAGGAAAGTCCATGAGACTCTTCTCTCCAATTAACCAGCAAAAAAAAAAAAAAAGCTGGAAGTGGAGGTGCGGCTCAAGAGGTAGAGCACTAACCTTGAGCACAAAAGCTTAAGGCTAGTGCTCAGGCTCTGAGTTCCAACCCCAGGATGGACACCAAGGAAAACAAACAGACATCAAAAATGTATGTCAGCAGGCAGAGATACAGGCAGCTGGGCTCCTGAGAACTGTAGAATACCCCCTTTTACTCACATTTCAAAGACCATATGAGCAAACCCATGTAGTTCTGTGTGTGTGCGTGTGTGTGAAACAGGAAAGACATAGTAGTGCCCTAGAGACTTCCAGATGTAAAACAGGGATGGAGACATCCAGCTGTCTCTCAAGGAGATGGAAAGACTAAAAGGAAGTAGGAGGGACAAAGGTTCTGCCTGGCAGGAGCCATTGGCCCAGGACCAGGAGAAGCAATCCAGTAGCTGAGCACATCCAAGCGGCCAGCTTTTGCTTATGGGTCCCAGGGCTAGAGGTGTGTGTGTGGTGGGGGCTGAGGGGGCAGTGGAGCAGGGGTAATTGAGAGGCTCAAATTAGTGACTGGATTCCTGGGTAAGCTGTGATTCCCTTGGTGCTTTTAGGGAACCAACCCACTGTCCTGGAGACAGCGGAAGCATTCCACCCAGGGAAGAACCGATGGGAGGTGCTCCCTGCCATGCCCACACCCCGCTGTGCCTGCTCCAGCATCGTCATCAAGAACTGCCTCCTGGCCGTGGGGGGCGTCACGCAGGGTCTGAGCGACGCTGTGGAGGCCCTGTGTGTCTCCGACTCGTAGCCATCCGCAGCCCAGCGTCTATGCCCTGGAATCTCTCTCCTTCACTGCTGACAAGGAATGGCCTTGCCAAAGCAGTTGACCTATTTCCTGGCTTGTCATCTCCTCGCAGCCAGCAGGGTTAGGCTCTGGGGCTCTCCGTGACCTCCTTCAACCCCTCAATACAACCAATCCCAGAAGAGGAGAAGAAGGGCAGAAGACTCCAGCAGGAGCCCGACTGTCTCTTGTGTACCATCTTTGCTCAGTGCTCAGGCTCAGAAAAACACAGGAATAGTCCCTTCCTGCTCCTCCAGGAGTTCCACCTCTTCGTTACCCCCAGGAGGAGGTCCTTCCCCTGTTCTGAACTAGTTTGAGGGTCTCGGGATAAACAGTGGGGAACGATAAGAGAGCCCCAAACCCTGTGTGTCTCTTTGACCTCCATCCTTTCCACATTTGGTGGTGGACCTGGCCCAGGCCCCATTGACCCTGAAGAAATTGACTTGAAGTGAGGCCCCGCTGCAGACAGAAGGGAGTCAGGGGACACACGGCCACTCCCTGCCAGCGGCCTTGGCAGGGAGGACCAGGGCTGAGCATGTGGTGACAGGGAGGGGAAGCAGCAGCCCCGTGTCTGCTTCTCCAGCCCTTCCCTTTGCATTTTGCCTTCTGCCACCTGCTCCCGCCAGAGGCCTGGCTCTTTTTGTCCCCCGTGGCCCCCAGAGTGTTCCTGTGTGAAACCTCATTTACACTGTGGCATCCAAATCCACCAAGGATGGATTCATATGCACTCGGGTTAGTAGCAGCAGCACAATGATTAAAATCTATATTATTATCCTCTCTGGTACTGTACTGTGGGAGCGGGCTGGAGGCACCCTCTGATAGATAAGTAGAGAAGAGCCCCGAGAAACCTCTTCTGGTGCCCTCAGGCTAAATACCCTTCCCCCCCAGGGACTACTTATTCTTGGCTGTTCCCTCTAAAGAGTGCCACCTTCCCACAGCTGCCACCACTTACCACCCTCCCAGAGAAACAGCAGATTGGCCTTTGCTGGTGCCGAGACTGTGTGTGTGTGTGTGTGTGTGTGTGTGTGCATGCGCACAGCAAAGATTCTGTTCACATAGTTGCCTTGAGCCCGTGGTTCCATGACTAACCTGATTTCATTCCAATTCTCTCATATCCAAAGGACAAGGGAAACTGCCCACCTACTTAAAAATAAAAAGGGGGGCTTTTGAAAATGTACCTCTCTTTAGCTCGTAGAGCACCCCTTTGTGAGTCACAGTTATTTTTAAAAGCTCTCCTGGGCTGGGATACAGCTCAGTGGTAGAACCTTTGACTAGCTAGCGTGCTTTAGGTCCTGGGTTCAATCCTTAGCCCACAAAGGAAGAGGGATTGTTTTTTAATTTATTTTATTATTTTAAAGGTGACATTCAGCAGGGTTACATTTACAAACATCAGGTAACAAGTACATTTCCTTTCCTACAGTGTCATCTGTTCCCTCATTTCTTCCTACTCCCTCCCATCTCCACCCATGAGTTGCATAGTTCTCTTTCATCAATATCCAGTGCAGGAGAGAGGTTTATTTATGTTCTTCCTCTCTCTGTGTGTACCTGAACTTCTTCCTCAGGTCCCAAAAGGACACTGCCACCTGCTGCCTGGCTTTTCCTTTCCGTCAGGGCGAGGAAGCAGTCTGTGGCCAAGGGTGCCCCCTAGTGGCCGATGCCAAAGAGGCCTTTCCCTTTGCTTTTGGATCCCCGTTGGGCTGGGCAGCTAGAGGGAGCTGGAGGAACTGCAGCTGGAGGAGGCCATTCTGTCTCAGCCTCCTTCCATTTCTGCTCTGCCTCCCAACCTACCCAAACTCCTACTTTTAAAAAACGGGGTCATAGCTGGACATCGGTGGCTCACACCTGTAATCCTAGCTACTCAGGAAGCTGAGATTTGAGGGTAGTTCAAAGGCAGATCAGGCAGGAAAGTCCATAAGACTCTCGCCGCCAATTAACTGCCAAAAAAAAGAGTCAGAAGTGGAGCTATGACTCAAGTGGTAAAGCACTAACCTCGAATGAAGGAGCTGGATTCAAACTCCAGCACCCACCAAAAAAGAAAAAAAAAAGCCATAGAAGAAAACAGCTTGGCATTGGTAGCACCAGATATTTGAATTCCTCTCTGGAGGAAAATGAAGTCATTGGAACCAATGAAGCCCCTCCTAGGATCAGAAATACCCATGATGGTTGCATTTCTGTTACAACATGTGGACCACACAACACACAGGCCACCTTAGCAGCGCTTTTCTTGAGCATCCACTGGGCAGAAAGGGGGTCCCAGAAGGCTTTGGCACCTAGAGAAAATGGGCTAGTTCACAGCCGCTTGTGATTCATTTCTTTCCAGTTTTTGTTTGTTTGTTTTTGCCGATCCCAGGGCTTGAATTCAGTCCCTGAACTCCCTTTTGCTCGAAGCTAGCACTCTACCACTAAGCTGCATCCCCAGCCCCCTTCCAGGGTTTATTTCCAACAACCTCTTCCATTAATCTTGTGATTATGCCTCTATTCTCACCTCAGGCTCCTGCACAGGAAGGGAGATATAGAGTCTTCTCAACCTCCACTTTACAGAAAACATGGAGAGTCAGAAATCCTGAATATCTAACCCTAGAGACACAAATAAGGAACTGGTAAGAGCCAGGCACCAGTAGCTCACACCTGTAATCCTGGCTACTCAGGAGACTGAGGTAGGTCTGAGGATTGCAGTTCAAAGCCAGCCCAGGCGGGAAAGTCCTGTGAGACTCTTACCTCTAATTAACCACCAAAAAAGTTGTAGCTCAAATGGTAAAGTGCTAGCCTTGAACACAGAAGCTCAGGAGCAGTACCCAGGCCCCAAGTTCTAGCCCCAGAACTGGCATAAAGAAGAAAAGAGTGCTAGGAATGAAAACTCAAACCCAGCTCAGTACGCAGCACTCCTACCCCACACACTGGTGTCTCTGAGCTCCACAGTAAGAAAAACAAGAGATATAGCCCACTCATGTACCCACACCTCCAGTGACCACCCTCCAAGAACAGCTCCAAAGTCCCAGCCAGAGACTTAGAGACATGGCCTTAGTGAGATCAAATACATGCATGAGCAGGCATGTAGGGGATGGAACGAATGCAGAAGTGACCCCAGGACAGGACACAGGACTCAGGCCAAAGAGTCAGGACAAGAGCCAAAGAGACGGATACCCAAAGTGACAGATGAAAAGTTCCTGTGAGTTCAATAAGGTTATTCTCCTAACAAAATGCCACAGACAAAAGGGACTTAAAAGAAAATTTCCTTGTGTCACAATTCTGGAGGTGACAAGTCTGACATCAAGGTGACAAAAGGCCAGGCTGTTGCTGAGGGCTCTTGGGGTTGGGGGGAGGGGGAGGAGGACTCCCCTGGCTTCTTCCTAGCTCCTGGTGACAGCTGACAGTTCTTAGTGTTCTTTGGCTGGTGGCAGTGTCACTTCAGACTCTCAGTCCAAGTTTCCCTCATCATATATGGACACCCGTGGTTGGACTGAGGCCCATCCTTATCTGATATGACCTCATTTGAAGTAGATTATGTCTGCAAGGATTCTATTTCCAAACAGACACATTCACAAGCGCCAGTGGTTAGGACTTCCAATCAACTCACAACACCATGGCGAGGTCTTGCTGGAGTTGTAGGAAAAGAGGTCAGAGGCTAGGAGGAGTACATACAGACCTAGAAGGGAAGTTGAGGCCTGGAGAGGAGGGGGTTGGGACAGGCAAGCTGTGAGGCAGCAGTTCCAGCAGTGGATCTCCCTCCTCATCCCCACTCCTACCCCTCACCATGTACCATGAAACCAGTGCAGGAAGACAGAGATGGTCCCTGGGCAAAGGGGAGGGCCAGCTGGCTGCCACAGCCCAGTGTCCTGTGTTAACCTCATGTAGAGTGTACATTCTCCTCCATAGTCTGGTCTTTGTTCTAATGGCTCAAACTGTGTGTTGTTGAGCTCTATAAACATCTGTGTGTTTGCATCCCAGAGCCCTTGGTCCCGGCCTCCAGGAAACAGAGCACCGAGCACCCTCCCTCCCCAGCCCAGGAGCAGAGGCTCTGTCAACCTGAGCTCTGTGAATTGTGTGCAGTAGCTACCTCACACCAGCCCAGCCTTCATGCCCAGTACCCATCACCTCTTCCCCTCTCCACCTCTCCCCCTCTGCCTTCTCTCTCCTGGGGCTTGAACTCAGGGCTTTGGCACTGTCCTTGAGCTTTTTCACTCAAAGCTACTTTACCTACCACCTAAGCCACAGCTCTGCTTCTGGTCCTCTGATGGTTAATTGGAAATTTGACTCCTTTCGATTGCCTTTCCCAGGCTGGTTTTGAACTACAATCCTCAGTCTCCTAAAAAGCTAGTGTTATAGGCATGGGCCACCAGCCACAGCAGAATCTTTTTCATTTGAAAGCCTAGGTGTTGCAATATTCTACAGCAAGATCAGCCACCCATCGCCTTGGATTATTATTACATTCTACGAGGCCTCCTGATTTCCTCAAGGTATGAGGGGCTTATGGGGGTGGGCGGGGACCTGATCTTCCTCCCTCTCTATCTCTGCTTAGCCCTAGTCAGTACTGGATGCCAAATGGGAGCTTCAGAACAGCAGGTAACACACTGACTAAGAACATAGATGGCTCCCCGAGGGAATTGCTGGAGAAAAAAAAAAAAAAAAACAACCCATGTCCCTAAGTCCTGTTCCTAATTTAGCCTGGACACTCCTGGCTCCTGAGACATTTTCCTTTTTTATGCAAAACCTCTCAGCCACCCACCTTCATCCTCCGAAGAGGAAATCGTTGGCAGGTGACTCAAAGGACCTATGGGACAAGGGGCAAGAGGCCAGAGAAGTGACTGGCGATTTGCTGCCTGAAGAGACACTGCAGGGATTTCTGGGAAGTTCAAGGGAGAGCCATCCTCTCCTGTCTGCCTGTATGGAGACTGGACAGGAGGGAGCTCCAGGCTGGTGGCTGGTGGCTTGCTAGCCTGCCAGGGCTCCAACTGGTCAGCTTTAGA